TCATGCACAACCACATTTAACCAGAGAGTAGAGATAATTGTGTCTCCATATGACATTATGTTAATGTTTATGATATTATGGTGCAAGTTGGGATGCTTTTACTTTTTATCTTTGTTGTGTAGTATGATTTACGGTATCAAAATTATTCATGCATGTTAGGATTAATGTGTTAAGGAAAATAACAATTATTTTTCTTGATTATTGGTTCAATTTTTTGTGTGGTTGACTACACAAATTATTCATTTTTCGTTGAGTGTGGTCTATCTGGACCAGACCAGACCGAACCAGACAGCACAGTCGTGATCTGTACCGGACCGTATAGTTTGTGGTCTGGTCTGTGGTCTATACTTCAGCCTCTCGGTCTGGACCACAGACCGTATATATGACCAGACCGCATCGTTTCCCCGCCCTAATCCTAGCGCAGCTTCACACCAAGGAAGTTTTATTTCAAAATTTTTACAAGAACTCATCCACGTCACTAAAAAGTGTGTCTTATCATTCAAAGTTGAACCGTTAGTTATAAATCCTGTATCTTTTCATCTCTCATGCTTTATCTATGTAACATTTGCTTAAAATGTTATATATTTTCATAGTTTTTATTTTCAAAGAAAAATTCAGATTTTTATCCTAAAGCTGGCTTGAATGAATATTGAACGAAAGAAAGAATGTAAAGGATACAAGAATGAAGATGATACGGGGAATCATTAAATAAAGTGGCGCTACCTCTTAACATAAGACAGCTCCTTCAAAGTATATACACGGTTTACGAATTCTGAGTTTCTGTTAAAGTTATAAATATGCTTAAAAATTATTGATTATGTCGTTGAAACATCATTCGTATATGATAAATGTTAAATTCGAATGTTAAACTTGTAATACTCGAGCACTCATCCAATTTGGGTGCCTCTACAAGTGGAACTCAACAAAGACTCAAAAGAAACTTTCTTGTTTTGGATCTCACGGCTGCTGGCTCCCAACGTACAAAAGACTTCTACCGAAAGCAAAAAAGCAGTTTAATGGGTATGGGTATTCATTCATTCATTCACTCACTCTTGCTCTTGTCTTTGATTGATTGATGAATGATGATGCCTGCCTGCCTATAATGCCTTTTCCACTGTAAATTTCTTTTGTGGGATGCTGCATATATGGCTTTTCTTCTTCTTTTGTAGCATAATCTTGCACGCCTTTCCATCATCTTGGTTTCTCTCTATATACATGAATGGTGTACATTATTAGACAAAGGACCACAAACAAGGATGAAAGCCCTCCCATTCACAATTATCTCTTGTTTAACGATCTTCCAAAAGATTTGGATATTTTTCTTTCGTATCTTATTCTCGGGTGGCTATTCTCGACTCATTTGAGCTTATATAAGCTGATTATTCCTAATTGGTACTCCAAGAGTGCTCGAATGAAAGAGCCAACCATAATAAGGGCTTTTTAGAGCAAAACCTAACTGATCGGAGTTTGGCCGGGTTTGGAAATATCCTAATCTCCGGGGTAATATCTATAGTAGGTATATTGTAATAAGCATGTATTCTTTCCCCTTTTGGTGAAAGTGAGCTAAATCTTGACAAATGAGAATGGTAATCAAGCAAGATTTTCGTTAAAAATACGAAGGATTACGTACAATCAATGTGTGGTTAATTAAAAGTACCTCTAAGTTTTCACTTAATTATCAAATGAGAATGGTAATCAAGCCAAATTTCCTTTACATGTAGAGCCTGTAATACGAGGCCACGCATATTATGAATGACAAGTGCTATATCTATGTACGTCAACTTAATGATCATCATCACTTTATTGTTTCTCACTTTAACAGAATTCATGCGTAACCCTCACGCACCAGCTAAAACACACAACACAAATAGTGCTCCACAATATGGCCAGTCATATTTGATTAGGTACATATACTTGGGTTTTGCCTTAAGCGTACAATGAATTCTGGAATGAAGTACTATTTGTCCAACCTTAGGTTGAAATGTTGTATGTGATTTAATTCACTGCAGTATGGTGCATAGATAGATATGGTAAATGGATAGATTCATGAATTGGCAGATTTAAGTGACATTCAAATTTTGGACCAATATGTAAATTTTAAAAGTTTGAAGTACTAAATGTCATTGTAAAACATTTTAGGTGCAGAAACATAACTTTTGAACGGTATTTTCATTAAGATATTAAATTCTAGGTATCAAATTGTAAAGTATAAAAAAACTATAGGTACTAAGCTCTAATTTGGCAACAATCCGTGAATCTGGTCCATGAATCTACCAATACATTTGGATTTGGAGTAAATTTGTTGGATTTTTGAGTTGATGATTTAGATTGGTGGATTGGATTTAAATGGCCACTTCTAATGGTGCAGTAAGGTCATGTAGTCAAGAAAGAAAGAGGTACGATCTAGAAGACAGTACATAACAAAAATGAAGCTTAAAACACAAATGTGAACAACAACCAATATAACGCAAGGAGGGATTGAAACAATTTCAATTAGAAGTGGCACATAAATTGGATTTATGGATTGATGAATTCATAAATTGGATTAAACTTTAGACCATGATACAATTGAAATGTTTAGGTCCTAAAAAGTTATCGTGAAAAAATTTAATTTGAACCAAAACGTCATTTTTCCGAGGAAACTTTATAAAAAATTTGACATTTAGGTTCAAATTTCAAATTATAAAACATATAAGTACTAAACAATAATTTTATAATAATCCTTTAGTCTACCAATTTAGTTGGACAATATATTGCATTCAAATGAAATGAATTAGGTGAATTTTTTAGTAGATAAATTGGTGAATGTATACATAATATAATAGTGAAATGGAAAAGGTGTTTCTCCCATTATAAATTCCTGCATCCAAAGCGAAAGTAAAAAGTGTAGATTCGTTTTCACATTCATTTATTATTTTTATATTTACAGGAAAAATACATCAGTGGTGAGATTTGAACCGTGGCCTTTTTGAATAAAGACAAGAAACATAACTAGTTACACTATATAAATTTGTTTGATCTTTTTAATTTAAAAACATATAATAAGCTAAAATCTGAAAAATCATAGGTTTTTCCCACTATTATTAGCTAACCCACTAACTCTCCTATAAAGATTTCTTTGAAATTTGAACCTTCTATTTTCATATTTTAATTGTTCTAATTTGAGTTTAATAATTAATTCAATTTATGTTTATCTTATAAAAGAGGATTATTTTAGAATCGCAACCCAAATGTCATTACTTAAAATATTGCATATCGAATTGTAGTATTGAATTTGCAGAAGCGATGTAGGATTCTTAACATATACGTAATATTTATAACTACCATAAAGCAACGATATTTTTGAACACAAAAGTTTTCAGTGTATATGGGGCACATGTGTCTTAAGAGAGGGTAAATATGAAAAGGTTGAATGATCTTGGTTTGTCGAAGTTGATGGAAAAGGTGCTACTAATGTAAAGAAGCCCAAATAGTGCCTCGACCCTCTGAATGTTCAACCATTAATCCCGTCTCTCCAAAAATTCCCACTGGACTAGAAAGATAGCTACCTCATCCGCCTCTATTGTTATGCCAGAGCAATTTTTGGAGGATAAATATGGAAAGGTAGAGTGTGGTTGGTTTGCCGAACGTGGATGGAAAAGACGCTACTAATGTACATAAACCCAAATAGTGCACCAGAAGTCCAGAACACTAAACGGTCAACCATCGCCGGTCTCTCCAAACCTTTCCATCGAACTTGACACCCGGATAACCTCCTCCTCACCATCCTAACTCCTCCTGCCATAGAAAGTTTTACAACTTACCCTCAATCCAGCGGTATCACTGCTTCGATTGACTCCCCACTAGGTTGACTTGCGTCGGGGGACATGCACCAATCGCACAGGCTGTGACGAACCCAGTTTCTTGCCTTCGATTCATGAAATGAAGGATTACGTGTCGGTCAATTTCATTCCCAGGATTGTATTTCCTTTATGGAATCTTCCATGTTATGTAAAGCAAACTAAAGAAACATATGTATTTGTTCTTGGTTGAATCAAAGCAACGATTACGCCCTGGTTAGTTGTTTACGATATGTTGTACACGATAATCTACTCCTTTCAGCTAAGGCTGGCAATCAGTGTGGTTACGGTTACCCACATCGTTTTGTGTAGTTGCCCATATCCACTTAAGGATATGCCAACCACATCCACACCATATGTGATTAACGGTTACCCATTAAATCGCTTGGTGGCTTCCATTTTCACCGTCGGGAATTGGAGATAGGTAAGCATTCATTAGATTTTTCATGTTCACTGTAGAGGCATCATGGTGCTTGGCAATAGTGGCTTGATTTAGAGCTAATGGCTTGGTTTGGATTATCCATTTTAGTGTTTATGTTTACTCTTTTTTTCATAGTGCAATCGGATAATGACTTCCCATCGGATTATTATGGTGTTGTTAGCCTACCTCCACCCATCACTGCAAATATGCTAATGGGTAATATTAGTCGAGTCAGAGCACCAATTTCCGGAGCTACATCCGTCCAAGGGATTGGGTAATAAGGTAGTTAGATTCAAATTATCACCTCTAAATTCTGCGTAGTAAACTCGAAAATGGAAAACCCTAATTTAAGTAAAAAAGGATCGAGGACTTAATATCTTACCAACCTTTTGACAGGTTGAGAGTGTATTAAACACATTTAGTACTAGTAGCTTGATTTTTTTTAGACTCAAATTGATTTATTTGAAATCAAAAGCCAGTCTCCAGGGCAATTACATAAGCAATTTGGGCAGTGTAACAATCTTGCCAAATTCTGTCACCAACAACAAGAAAAGGAAAGAAATGTGCAAGGAGGTGAGCAGCCATACTTGCTTCTTTGAACACAAAATCCCAATCTAACACATCAATCTCCCAGCCAATCAAAGCAATGCTTCTGCACACATTATGCTCTGCTGTCCTATTTACCCTTAAGGATATTGATAAACTTTTTGCAATCAGATTCTACTTGGATGGTTCTTATTCCCAACTCTTTTGCTTTCTTCAACCCATACTGCAGCACCATCCCTTCTGCTAGATCAGGGGGCCAATTTGCTTTGAGCATTATGAAGATTGCCAACTTCACATTTCCATTCCAGTCTCCTATAACGCATCCCATTCCCACTTCCCCTTTGCTGCTACAACATGCATAGGAGTTCAGCTTATAGACCCCTTCTGGAGGCTATCCGCATTTGCAATTCCTTCTGTCAGCACCTCTGCTTCTGGTATTTTCCTTCCCCTGTACAACAAGAAAATCCTGTATGAAATCATAAGCTTTTGTAAAAACCTCCCATTCTTGTAGCATCTTGTTATTGAATAAGCAATTGTTTCTCTCTTTCTAGGGAAGACCAAAAAAGCGAGCATAATCTTTCGACCTATCCATCTTTTGCATCCTTAACCACCTTGAAAATCCATTCCCTGCAAGAGAGTTTTGAAGTAAGATAGAATAAATTTGCAACTAGGGTCTTTGACCAGATTCTCCCTACCCAACTGCAATCCACAATACAATGCTTTAAAGTTTCCTTCATGCCACAATTTGGCCATTCGTCCCCTCTTCTTTTACTTTTTGTACTGATCCTAGCTCCAACTGGAATACTATTATGATCAGCCTTCCATAAGAACGTCTTGATTTTCCCTGGGATGTTTAGTTTCCAAAATATTTTCCAGACAACATTCCTAACCTCCTCTCCTGATCCAATTTTCCATCTACAACCTGATTTCAGGAGCTCTTGAGCCCTCATCAGACTTCTCCAAATATAGCTCGGTCTCCAACAAATTTTGCCTCCAGAATATTGCATTTCGGATGATATTTTGCCTTGAGAAGTCTTGCAAACAGAGACTGAGGCTTGAGTTTTAGGTTCTGTAGCTGTATTGCTAGGATCGTTGTGTTTAAGATTTTAAGGTTCTAGAACCCCATTCCTCCCTGATCTTTCCTTCTACAAAACTTCTCCAATTTTTCCAGTGAATTCTTCTTTCATTACCCTTTTGCCCCTACCAGAAGTTAGCATTAGGCTATGAATATCCTCAATAGTTTTATCAGAAACCTTGAAAACAGACATGTCATAGGTCATTTGGGCCTGAGCAATACTTTTAATTAAAATCTCTTTCCCAGCATGTTATGAGACAATCCAAGTACCACATCGGTAATACAAGGGAAGGAACCCTTGTATATAGTATCCACCTAGCCCAATTAGTACGAGGCCTTTTGGGGAGGACACCCAAGAGTAAAACCATGCGGGCGTGGTCCAAAGCGGACAATATCGTACTAATTGAGCTGCTCGGTTTCGACAAGTGATATCAGAGCCTGATTCGATTCGGGGTGGTGGACGTCAGTTTTGGTGGGAACCTCATTCGGTGACCTCGGGATTTGAGATCTGCGTTTGTTTGCGGGTCAAAGGTGATTCGCATCTGTTTGGTGGATCCTGGAGAGATCCACGTTTGGGCTTTGGCAGATCAAAGAGAGTTCCGCATTTGGGAAGCAGATCAAAGAGGGTTCTGCGTCTGGTAAAGTTCTTGTACCGAGAAGCCCATCAATACAAGGCGTTTGGCGGATTAAGATAATCGTTGAGGTGAGAACACGAAGTTCGTGGTCCTTGTCTTGAGGGGAGGATTGTTATGGGACAATCCAAGTACCACATTTGTAATACAAGGGAAGGAACCCTTGTATATAGTGTCCACCTAGCCCAACTAGTACGAGGCCTTGGGGAGGACACCCAAGAGTAAAACCGTGTGGGCTTGTGCCAAAGTGGACAATATCATACTAATTGAGCGGCCCGATTATGACACAACCTCTGAAAAGAACCTGTTTTCCCGTTCATCAACTTAATTTCTCACTTTGTCTCTTAGATTGCTGAAACCCAGCTTTTTGGACCTGCCAACCATAGTAGGAAGCCCCAAATACCTCGCCAATTTATCCACTTCCTTGATGTTCAACTCTAGGCAGATTTCCCGCCTCCTATTTCCCAGAATGTTCTTGTTGAAGTATACTTCTGACTTGTCAAAATTCACCATATGCCTTGGCTCTTTCTCGTAATCTGCCAAAACCTCTTTCAGTTTCTCCGCTTCTTCCATAGTAGCTCTAGCAAATATGATGCAATCGTCAGCGAACAGTAAATGTGAGACCACAGGAGCCCTATTACAGATTTTTAAACCATGTAGCTTCCTCTCCCTCCCACATTTGTTGATCAAAGCCGAGAGACCTTGAACATACGGAATCAATAAATACGGGGAGAGTGGGTCTCCTTGCCTCAGTCCCCTACCAGGACTAAAAAAACTAGACTTGTGCCCATTAACCAACACTGCATAAGACACAGATGAGACACAATTCATAATAAGCTTAATCCATCTATCGTCGAAATCGAGTTTAGCCATGACTCTTTCAAGAAAGACCCACTCAACACGGTCGTAGGCCTTAGCCATATCAAGTTCGAGGACAAGGAAACCTTTTCACCTTTGTTCTTGTTCTTGATGGTAAAGAAACATTGAAACACAACTATCACATTGTCTGTAATTGATCTTAATGTTAGCTTCGGGGCTTGAACCATGTATTAAGAGTGTACGTAAAAACATTGCATACACGTATAATCATACGAATATCTATACTACCTGTTTACCGGTTTTGATATTAGCGCCATATATATGAACAATTTATAATTGAGTTAGGAAATACAACAAGTCAATAACTATATATTGATAGTTCTATCGTAGTTTGAGTAAAATCAAAGGTATGGTTTCGATAATTAAGACCTAAAGTTCACTCAATAGTTAGGATATAATAATAGTATCATGCCCCAAAGCCCAGTTAATTCGAGGTCATTATAACGTTTCTTACTAAAGGTATATGGTACCCTAGAATGTACCCATGGTACGATAAAACACACACATATATATAGCTTTTTTTTTATCTTGTTACGCTTACTTTTTTGGGTTCATAATTGTCATTATGTCAAAAAGATATCATGGACAATAAAATGCAGGAATTTGGACAAAAATCATTTGAAATTTATTTTGATTATAAGGATTTGGGATTTTTCTAGTGGAGGCTTAAGGTTTATAATTTAGGTTCTAGGGGTAGGGTTCAGGGCCGAAGGTTTAGGTATTAGGATAATGCATTGATTATAAGTGGTCATTTTATGTTATATCCAAGGATTAAAATACCGTACCGTATCGACAGTTCGACCTGAAAAACCTCATACCAAAAGCAAAAATGGTAGGCGGTATTTAGCAGTATGAACCATGGTTAAACCCCAGTTTTAGCATAAAATACTCTACCGCTAACTTTTCCGGTACGACCTCCGTTATGGTATTTCAATCCTTGGTTATATCACCATATTACATTAATGTTATAAATTAAAATTCAAAATTCGATGTTTTAGAACTAATTTTTTGTATCTTTGTGAGTGAATCTTAAAAATCAATACATAAATGCTTGTGTAGTGAGTTAATCTATACCCAGATTTCTTGTTCTAGTCGGTTTGTCGTCCTTAGTGATTAATTTGTCTTATAAAGATATATATTTGGCGACTTCTATCATATGAGTAAAATCAAAGATACAAGATATCTTTAGTAAGGAAACACTATCTAGACCTCGAATTAATTGGATTTTAGTGCATGATACTATACCCTAATCCTTGATAGGTGAACCCTAAATTTTAATTATCTAAATCATAGACCCTGAACACCAAAATAATCTATATAATTTGTTGCATGTATTTCGATGAATCGTGACCGTTGATTATTATTTCTAATTAAATTGATCTTAGTGTGTGAGATTTATAGAACTGAGGCCCAGATTTTAATCTCTAAGGATTAGAGTAAAATAATATGTCACAAGCACTAGTCAATTAAAGGTCTAGATATAATTTTCTTAGTCAAGGTATACCATACATTTTATTTTACTCAAAGTACGATAAACATCTTTTAAAGAGCAGTTTTTATACTCATTCATCACTACCATAGTTCATATAGGGTAGGAAGCATCCCTTCTCACAACCACCCCGTCTTCCTCAACGTCATGCTTAGTTACAAGTTGCTCTAGCCATGAACGATCAGATTGGACTAGCCGTAAGTAGATTTTCAAATAACTCACAATGAGTTATTACAATTATTTCAAGATCAAGGTGAAGCTCTGGTTTGAATCTTGGAACTTGCTCCAGCCTGTGATTGGAGCGAGCAATGCCGCTCCGCAGCGTGTTCCCTCCGAGATTAGTTGGGTTCCCCCGCCTTGTGGATGGCTTTAGCTTAATGTAGATGAAATTTCAGCAGGTAACCCCGAGAAGGCCGGAGCTAGAGGTGTTCTGAGAGACAATGAAGGGCGTTGGATCCTCGGGTTCTGCTCCAGCTTGGGCGCTTGCTCTGCGGCAGCAGCTGAATTATGGGGACTATACCATGGACTTCAACTTGCTTGGAACCATGGATGTTGAGCTCTTTTGGTTGAATCAGACTCGCGTTTGGCTATTGATCTGGTGACCAATAGAATAGACTCTTTGCACCCCTACTCAACCCTCTTGGAAGCTATTAGGAGATTTATTGCGCATGATTGGGTGGCAAAAATAGCGCATACATATCACGAAGGGAATAGAGTCGCGGACTGGCTCTCGAAGCACAGTCTTGTCTATCCATACAAGATGTATGAACTATCGACACCTCCCCAAGGAGCCATCTCGATTCTTAAGGATGACGAAAGAGGAACTTCGTTCCCTAGGCTCATCATCCCTACTGCCCATCCTCTTAATCCCTCCCCCTCTGCCTGACTGATTGTTTTGCTTCTTCTTTGGCCTCGCGCCTCCTTTGTACGCAAATTTAATTTTACCAAACAAATTATTTCAAGTTAACCAATTACCTCACCCATTTCACCCGCATATGTAAGAATGGGGTATTTAAAAGCATTGATGGGTACACAAAAGAGTAGGTGCCAAAAGGATATTCTGAGAGGATATTATATATGCAAGGGTCCCACTATTCAGCCCATTACCACCACCGCCGAGCCATTTGTCCATTCCATCCTTTAAAGGGTTACAATATAATTACTCACAAGTCACAACCCCCAACCATATCACAAATATCTCAAGTACCGGGAAGAGCAAAATAAAAGCACCACCACATTTTATTTAATTCACAAAAGTTGGCTGGTTTTGATGGGGTGATAAATTAGTTACTATTAATTTTTTTATAATATAAGTAATTAAAGAACACACCAAGTTAAGTAATGCATTAATAAAATACTTGTTAGCTAATTCATGAGTAGAAGAGATCAGTTTGCTATACTTGCAAATGATGCATATGTCTAAAAAAATGATGCACATTATTGAGAGGTTGAGAAGATATATAAACCCAAATTGAACATAAAAAAGTGAAAGGTTAAAAAACACATCCAACCAACATATCAGATATGTATAAGCCCATACAGCTAGACCTCGTAATTTTGAGTCGATGACCGATAATAAGATTACAAGTCATAACAACAAAATATGTGATTGTATATATAGTCTTAATTACACTAAGAATCACAAGTAGTTGGTGTATGATGTATTTCAAACTTTTGAAATAAAAAGGTTTGGGCTAATACCACTCGGAAACCCGAACTATTAACTTTGTGTCATTTGTGTCTTAAAGTATCCGATATGACATTTGTGTCCTAAAATATTTTTTCGTTAGAGTTGACTGGCGTTGACCGTTAGTTTGTAACAAAAAGTCTAGTCAGCGATGATGTGGCATCTGACGTGGAATTTTATTATTTATTTTTATTAATTTTTCATAAAAAATGAATAAAGTTACAAAAATTTAAAGAAAAAAAGTCTATTGGTCTCCTCTCTCCTCCCTCAACACCACCATGGAACTCGGCGTCTCTGCCGCCTCGCAATCCCTAACTCTGCTCTCCTGCACGCAATTTCCATCCGCGCTCTCATCGCCGAACTCAATCCGGAGAGAGTTCCTCGCTTGCGGCCACAACCTCCGCCCTATCGACGGCCTGCTCCGCTCCCGGGAGGCCAAATGCCGGAAGGTCAGGTTATGGAAAGGCCGGCCTCCTCACCATTTGTGATGGCGACGAACTCCGTGATGCTCGAGAGCAGATAAAGAGGGCAAGTATATCTAGAGACATGGGTTTAAGGACGAACTAGGTAGAGACTCCTCAACGAACTAGACGACGGCCGGCGAGAGCGTACTGGAGATGTTGAAGGGTCGGATTCGGCGGAGGACGGCGGAAGTGTTGGGGAAGAAGTTCAGCGGGGAAGAAGGGTTTTGTTAAGAAAATTGTTTTCTTATTTTTCTCTTATTTTTTATTTTTCTCTCTAAATAATCAGATGTGTCAGCTGACGTGGCTGCCACATATGTGCCACATAATCAAAGGTCAACATTTCACTGATGACCGTTAGGTCAACCGTTATCTTTAACCGTCAACGAAATTGCCAAGACATAAATGACACACAACTATCATATGTCAGGACACAAATGTCATATCAGATACTTTAGGACACAATTGACACAAAGTTAATAGTTTGGGTTTCCTAGTGGTATTATCCCAAAAGGTTACAAATATTTGTTTCATCTTTATGGTATAATATAATATATAGCACAAATAAATAGAAGCCGATAGTGTATTTCTGCAAGTTCAAGAAGGGGCAATTCTGCGTACGTATAGGCATGAGGTAGTGACATTCATAACGTCCACCTAGGCTCCAGGAAGATAATTAGACATTCATAACGCATAGGCAACACTTAGGCAAAGGTAGGCATGATAAACCAACATTAGGCATGCGTAATCAGATGGAGGTGCGTCTAAACGCAGTGGCATACCAAGGATTAAAAACTGCAGCTAATCTTCACACAAGGACGCCATCTCTAGTTGGTTGGCCTATATTCAACATGTCCTTTACCCCTCCTTCCACGATTTGTAATTGTAATTCAAGGTCAAGGAGACAAACACTAATAACTCAGGAATTGCAATGGCTTTTCTTGTTCGCTCCATCCCTTTTGCCCTCTGCCCCACTTTTCATCGTTGCCGATTTGACAGCCGCCACAACTCACGACCTTTTATAAACTTGTGTTTCCAGAAAATAGGACAGCTTTTGCTCATTATTGTTGAGGGTTAGCTAAGTTATCTATAATTTAAAATTGAAACAAAGTTGAAAAGTGCTATAAAATTGTTATTTCTACTAAAAATTGATATTTTTGTTTAAAACGTCTAGGTATTACTCAGGCGTAATAGGTGCTAGTCATGGCCCTATAAAATTATATGATTACTCTTACTTGTTAAACCTGAGTTAATATCCAATCTATGCATGTTTTATGGATCAATTCTGCTTTAATTGGGATGATTAATTTCTCTTTTGACATATAAGAGATAATACTTGATTAGTTTGATATAGCACCATTGAGAATGAGTTGGTCAATTGCTTTGTATTGGGCGAAAATGTCACCCAATTGAGGAGTCTAGTGTGAATTTCCTTGGTATTATCAATTATGTCTTAGTTGATGATAGTGTCCCTCTAAGCAGTATATTGAAGAGACTCTTATATGCTTTAATCGAGATTCAAGACTTGTTAATGACTTTTCGAATTATGAATAAATAGCGAAATAAGTTAGAGAATCATCAATCATTAATCTGACTAGTGAATAGAGGGAATCATTACTTGAGTGAGCCTCCTACGTTGTAATTAGTTAGGTTAGTCTTTTCGTAGTTTGTTGGATTAGTTTTAGTTGTTAACATGAAAGACTAAATAATAAACTGAAATTGAGTAATAATAAACATAAAGATATGTGAATTCAATATTTATTACTTGTTGCAACTATATCGCGAACTTGTCATTGTTTCTGCCTGGCATTATCATGAGTGTTAGTTTGTAATGACCAATTCAGGACATATTGTGAACGACCTCCTGAAGTATAATTATATTATCCAGAATATGTCTCTTGGGACTGAAACTATATTGATTTTCGTTGCCCAAATACCTATTTCAACCCAAGTGCCGTCATCTATATTTTTTGCCACATATATAGCGCCTCCTCCAGATTGCTTTGGCCATTCGGCTCCATTCCATTTATTTCCTTAGTATCATGCTTATGCATTTGTTGTTTTGCTGTGAACAATATCCTACCAGAAGATGATTGGTGTTAACACCTTACTTAATACCCTTCCTCCCTTTCCCTTTCTCTACGTTCATTTTATTGAGTTTTATATACAAATTGCAATTTTGATATCTAAATTTAATAGATCTTAATATCAAGTGTCAAAAATTAAATTTTTAAAGATAATTCCAGAAAATATTGATGAAAAATTACATTGTAATACCTAATTTTTTTCCTTACATTTTGATACCTTACCGTTTTAATATATACAAAAAGGTCTACGGTTACGAGGTTCTCGATATGCCTCGAAAAACTTGTAGTATATTTTATGAGGTTTATGACAATGCTTCATTGAAGTTGTGGTGTGAAAAAGCTCGTGACATGCTTTAATGGACTTGTGGTATGCTTTTAGAAACTTGTGTTGTGCATTAATAAACTTGTGGTATGCTTTAATAGATTTGTAGTATGCTTTATTAGACTTCTAGTATGCCTTCGGGACTTGTGGTGTGCTTTAAAAGAACTTGTTGTATGCTTTATATGTCATAAACCAGTTGGTCCCAATAACTCGAGTTGTTGTGAGAAGGTTATTCTGGATCTTATACCACTCTCTAACACGCCCCCTCAAACGAAAGCCGACTCATGGGCTTGAAGTTTGCACAGGCCCGCCATACCATGTGCTTGAAGACAACTGTTAATATTGGGGGTCGTGCAGATTCAAGCACACGATCACTTGGCCAAACCAGCTCTGATACAATATCAAGAACCAGTTGATCCCAATAACTCGAGCTGTTGGGAGAGTTTCAATTTTGGATCATATACCGTTTACTAACACCTCCTTTCAAACTCAAGCCATTCAGATAGGCTTGGAGTTTGAACAGACACAGTTCCGGACACCGTGTGCTTAACAGAAACAGATGGGGTCACCGGGAATCGAACAGAAGACCTCATGGTCACAAAAGGCTCTGATACCATGTCATAAACCAGTTGGTCCCAATAACTCGAGTTGTTAGGAGAAGGTTATGCTGGATCTTATAGTATTCTCCAAAATTATAAGATTTTTGATATTTGTGGTGTGGTGAGGTTGTGATACGCTTTTTAAAATTTTTGCTATGCTTTTTAAGTTTTTCCCCCTTTTTGTGTGTGTGGTGTTGTTTAATTTCTTGTGTTTGGTGGTTCTCCCCATTAATGCACACAAACAAGCTGATCCTTTCTCTTCCCCAAAATTTCATTAATGATAAGTTGTGTCCACCTGTCCCTCTCCTTTATTAGTTGTGGTCAACCCATTCAAATTAAAAGTCATCAAAAATATATGTTTCCATTGTCTTGAGGCAATGTTAGCACCATACTCACAAACAAAGTGTTAGCAGTCTAACCCTTACAATACTCTACCACACTTCAGTTAAAAATATCCTAGTACGCGTATTAAGTTGCCCATAATATTAAAACGGGTCAGTAAATAATGAAACTTGGATCTTAACCTAAACAACAATAGTAGAATTTATAGTTATCCATGACTATCGAATGTCGAATTTGTTCGTATAAAGATCGTAACGAGTTATTTTTATTTACCAATAACAAATTACCGGGTTGCGCCTGAAATGTTTTTCATTTTCATAAATCTTCACCAATCTCATAAGTTAGGTAGTTAAATATTTTCTGTTACGGTAGGGATTATTATTTTTGCACTCTACTCGATCTTGTCAAATTTGTAATATTTTTTATTTGTGTTATCTTGACAAAAATACCTAAGTTGTTAAATTCAACTGAAAAAACAATCAGATAGATTAGAAATTTAGAATTCACCCTGCCATTAATATATAATATTCCCTTCACTATATAACTTTACAGCCTTATAAAACGAATACAAAATTGATTCCATAAAACTAAAGCACGAAAAGAAACAAAAAGAAGCAGTAGACAGTGGAACACACGATATATATTTGCTTTTCTTTTCTTCCCCTCGCCTCATTCCTTTTTCAACTCCGACTCCTCCTATTGACACCAAAATCTTCTCTCCCCTTCTTTCCCGATCAATCGATCTCTCCTTTTCTCCATTCCTCCTCCTCCCGATCCTCTCCGATATATATTTCGAAATATCCTCTGCCTCTCGCATTCTCCTCTCCTATATTCTTTCTTCCCAATATTATCCGCGTTCGAATCGCACCGGAAAAAAAAGATATGGCCATGGCAATGGCAGCAGGCTATGGCCAAATCCCCTTCGACGAGGAGATGCAGAAGAGCTTCCGTCCTCCCCCGCCCTTCCACGACAGCGTCGGCGACGGCGACCACCACATACTCAAACCCTACAAGAAATCCAACCGCCTCGTTTCTCTCGACGCCTTCCGTGGCCTCTGCGTCTTCGTAAGTCCCACTTTCTCCCCTGCATCTGCATTTCCCCCCTCCATTCTTTTTTATTTGCGTTTCGAAACTCAGGCCAGTCCGTTTCGATTCATCCTGCCCCATTTTCTGTTCCTCCCTTTCCGTTTGGTTGTTGAGAAAACGCATCTCATCTGATTTTGCCGTTTCATCTGTTAGAATTTATGCTCTTTCCTGGTAAATAAAAAAAAAAAAGAGCCTGGTAAATTGTTTAAATTTCTTTTTGCATATTTCGTGTTCATGAATAGATGACAATTGTAGAGTATGAGCTGAACTTTGTTTACTGTAATTAGATGCCAAAATGGGAACAATTAATGTTTAATTGGGGTTAGTATTGTACTCAAGGATAATTACTGATTACTTAATCATTAGTTATATACTTATTATCGTCTAAGAGTAAAACTTACCATGCGATAAACAGGGTAACTTCGTTAAAAATATATATTACTTTATTAATCCCGAGAGAATCATTATGGGTGGTCGTTGGTCACTTGGTTGGCCTAATCCGACGCAAACTACGTCCTAAGTTTGTTGCCGACATTTGTTTATGCGGCAATCTGAGGCAACGGCAACCCTGCCGACCAAAGCGACAGTCCCATCCGTACCTTTTTTTAAATCCAATCACCTTGTGCCACGTGTACCGCCGTTCGGGGAATAGCAGGGGAACTCTGGTTTCCGCGGGAAAAGATTCTATTTTCTTGTACTCCCGTCAAGTAAAGCAATTGGACTATAGAGCCCACCAAAAAGAATTTCCTGGGTTGTCATCGATGAAATCGCCGCAGTCTTTTTCTTCTGCTTCTACTTTCTCCTTCGGATTAAGATTGAAGGAGAAGGGCAAAGGGGACTACTATTGTGACGATTTTAAGCTCCGGTGATGGCAGAGATTGTCTCGTTGCTCGATTTGCAGCCGGAGGGCAACGGTAGGTTGCCTCGGGTCTGTTCTTTAGATGTCTTCCGCGGTATCTGTGTATTCGTACGTCTTCTGATTCTCAATTTCGCTTCGTGGTTGTGGTTGGACGCTCCATCTGGGTTCCGATTTGTTCTTTACTTGCTCAATCTTTGTTCCTTGTGCTCTATCATGTGTTGATTTGGGGTTTCCTTGTTTGGGTTGTTTTCAGCTAATGATAGTGGTCGATTATGGAGGTTCTGTTTTCCCAATAATAGCTCATTCGCCGTGGAACGGACTACACCTGGCGGATTTCGTGATGCCCTTCTTTCTTTTCGTCGTTGGTATCTCAATTGCCCTCGTCTACAAGGTAAACCCCCCACTAGTAACGTTTTTAATATTTCAGTCTTAAAAGTTGAAAGGATGTGCAAAAGAAAGAACGCCTGTGATAAAATGCTTTGCTTCCATTGTTCCTGTTTCATAGAAAGCACCAAATAGACTAGAAGCCACATGGAAGGCAATGGGCAGAGCAGCCAAATTATTTCTGTTGGGTATTCTTCTACAAGGAGGTTTCCTCCATGGGTTAAACTCACTCACCTATGGTGTTGACTTGGAAAGAATACGTTTGCTAGGAATTTTGCAGGTACTTTAATAACAGGGTGCCTGTTTATATTAAAGATGATGTTTTGCATGATTTATCTTTTGTTCATTTGCTTTGTCCTTGAAGCCATATGAATGGCAAAAGTTTATTGTCTTCAGTAAGGTTTTGCCTATGGATTCTTAGTGTTTTTTTTGTCATCATTCAAGCCAGAGAATATCAATTGGGTACATTGTTGGAGCTCTTTGTGAGATCTGGCTTTCACGCAGAACAAGGAGAGAAGTTGGAATCTTGAAAAGCTACTACTTGCATTGGTAAAGTTCTTGGCTTTTGTTCTCTTTTCTCCTTTGGAAACCAAATATCTAATCCTTGTTTCACATGAATCTTTCTACTTCCTTCTTTCCTGTCCGTTAGTCAAGGGAGAACAATGTTTCTGTTCCCCATTAATCAGGCAGTCTTATACTCTTTCATTAATAAAAATAATTTACTTTTTCCATTCTTCAGGTTTGCAGCATTTGCTATTATTGCAGTGTATCTCGGTTTGTTATATGGGCTATATGTTCCAGACTGGCAATTTTTTGTACCTGGAGAAGGTTACTCGGATCTTCCACTAGATGCCCATGAACACACAGTACGAGCATGCTCTACCTTCTTCCTGATTGAACTATTGGAATTCGTCTTCTGATGTAACTAGTACAAGAATTTACTGAGTACTTGCATCACGGATGCAGGTGAAATGCTCTGTAAGAGGTGATGTCGGTCCTGCTTGCAACTCTGCTGGAATGATTGATCGCTTTGTTCTTGGAATCAATCACCTATATGCAAAGCCTGTTTACAAAAATCTCAAGGTACAATTATTAGGGAACTCTATCTAATTCGCTCATTGTTACACAAGAGATTGATAAACTAACACGGATTTTTCGACGGTCAGGAGTGTAATATCTCGAGCGATAAAGTAGTCCCAGAGAGTGCTCCTTCATGGTGCCATGCTCCCTTTGATCCTGAAGGACTTCTCAGGTGACCACTCTCATATCATTTTCACTTCACTCTATTGCAATCTTACGTTGTCTCATCTATAATAAGCATGAACATTCTTTACCTTGGATCCATTTCTTTTACAGCTCATTAACAGCTGCAGTGACCTGCTTAATTGGGCTTCAGTATGGTCACGTTCTTGCTCATTTGCAGGTGAGCTTACCTGCTTGTTTTTTGTTTACCCTTTCTTCCTTAACCATCATAGTTTGTTCGTCGTGCTACTTGATTTCTTATAAAAAATGTGCTTTTCAGGACCACAAGGGGCGTCTGGAGAACTGGTGTGGCTTCTCCGTTGCTTTTCTTGTCCTCGGATTATTCCTCGCCCTTTTAGGTACGTTACATGATCACTGCCTCGCATGAGATATTCTGTCATAATTGAAGACCCTGTAACTTCTTTAGTCTTCACATTTCAGGGTTCCCCATCAACAAGCCTCTCTATTCTATCAGTTACATGTTGATCACTTCTGCTACAGCAGGCATCACATTTTGCGCATTGTACTTGTTGGTAAAACTCGGAGATCATAACATTGCTATTTCTCAAAATTCAATTTAGATAATAGAACTCCTGGGATTTGTATTCTTATCCACATGATATCTTGGGCTTGTAGGTCGATATATACGGCTACAGATGGTTGACATTACCATTGGAGTGGATGGGGAAACATGCTCTGAGTATTTTCATAATTGTATCTTCCAACTTGGCAGTCATTTTGATTCAAGGATTTTACTGGAAATCTCCGGAGAATAACCTGGTAGGCCATAACTTCTTTGCTTTAATTGGTTCTTAGCAATAGTATATCTAGTTGAATATTATCAATTAATATAAAGCTCCACCATTTGGTTTGAAACAGATGAACTGCATTGTCTCTCTCTTTGTGCATAGATGAAGAAGACTTGGGATTTAGTTTGGTGGTTTGTTTGTGGGTCCTCTGAGGTGGGAGCCGCAACAGATTTATACCGGTACTATGTACTTTGCCTCCTGCCATGTCCATCAGCAACATCAAGGAGGGGGAGAAGGCGAAAGTAAGTGCTAAATATTTGCAGAGTAAAGAGATAATGAGTGACAGATCTCCCTATGCGTTAATTCTTTTCCACAGGAATTGGCTTGGTTCACTAGCCATTAAGTTCTGCGGAGGGTTTGATGGGAAAGGAAGGACAATGACACGTTTAGTTTTGTCTGATATGTACAGTAAGTAGCATTCATGAAACCTGTAGGTTAGAATTATGTGGGTAGCTAGCATAAGCTGCAGGCTAAGTTCTCATAGCCATTGTGCGATCGACCTTTGTCAGGTGAGATAATGTAGTAATGACGATTGACCGAATTTCACATATTTCCAAAGGTCTCAGATATCCCTTCATTTAAACGGTCTAACGATATGCTCACTTGTGCTTCAGAGCAATGTACAATAGATTCTTTTCACCATTTATGGACTCTAGAACCTGTGCATGCTCTGTGATCTTGTTAATCGCCCCATAAAATATTATGTCGGCCAACTCCTTTCCAAACTGCATTACGAATATTTCATCTAGGACACCCCTCAATACCCTCACCCACTGTGTCGCGTCAACCTTCCGCTGAAGCCTCACCGAAACGGAGCTTGTCAGCTCCAACTCCTCGATGCTGAAGCATCCGTCCCTTTCAACCAGTTCTCTCATCTCCGTTGGCCGCGGATAGTATAAGGGCAAGTTGAAACTGTCCAGCTGGTCCTCACTCAACACCCCCTGCGTTGTGCACCCAGATAGATCACTTTACATGCATTGAGTAGAGTAGGGTCAAGCAAGTCCAGTACAAAAAAAAAAGTTTGAGGCTAGGTATCAAATGTAGATATACCAACCTGTCGAACAAGATCCAAGATGCTGAGGTTGATGCAGTCGAACATAAAGATGCTCTGCATCTCAGAGTAAGGCGTCTGGTCGGGTACCCCACCAATAACAATCACAAGCATACCTCCGCTAACTAGCTCTTGGCCTCTTGCCTTCAGGAACCCTTCCATGTCTCTCTCGAACTGTGACCTGTAAGCATCCACCACTTGTTGCGGTGCATCGGAGTAATGAATCCTTCCACTGTTCCAGGAAGGGGATCCTCTGTCACCCACTTCCGGCGGCACCCTCGATATCCAGTGGAGGGACATGGCACAGTGAGCAAAATGGAGAGACGATGTAGGGAACAACCTACTAAAACAGAGTACAATAATCAACTTTCGGAATAGACGCTAATAATATACGTATTAACAACACCTTGTCTCTACCACCCACCAACTACCTTCCATGGAATGACCCTGGTAGTCCTGCGGCGAAGTAGTCCCTCTCTGGTGGGAGGGAACGAAAGAGCGCATTGAAATCGTTGTTGACTTGGTCGTTGAAGAAAACTTGGAACTCCGGCATTGTTGGGTGATTGGAAATGTGGTATTTGTGGGCTGACTTGTTGGATTATTTCTTGGACATTGAAGAATGTGTTGGGTCCAATGGCACATCCGAGATCCACGATTTGGAATGTGTTGCAGGATGCCATCATGACGTCCAAGTCCAGCTTTTGAGAAATCAGCTCGTCGATTTTGGACTTCACTACACCCACAAATTTCCTATGCAAGAACAATTCATTTTCTTTTCAGTAGCATTCAATCCCATACTTCACAAAAATGAAGTTGTTTTCTTGGAGAGGGTGTTACCTGGAAGGAAGAGTTGTTGGATTAGTTGTAGGAGCTAGTTCCCGTAACCATAGTGGGAGAATCTGTGTTCGGAGAAACCATCTTCTTCTACTGCTTTCTGGTCAGGGTTAGGCTAAGGTAATCAGTAGTTGATGTGGATTAGCATTACTTATAGTATGGGTAAATGAAGTGAAAACTGCAATGGCCACTCCCTCACTTGTGTGTAAAACTAATAAAGTAATTGAAAACAGATGGCTTAGCCGTGACCAATCATGTAATAAGATACCTACATGACAATCTGGTTATGCGGCTGATCTTATGATTTGTCTGCAATAGTTGACTTAATTAGGCCTCCTAGATTAGCATCATCCAAGAAATATGCTCATAGAACTAGGCCAAAAGAAAGTGTCAATTTTTTTTTAATCTTTCATGTAATTATTGGTCATGTTGCTTGCTGTATTTGTGTCATGAATTTGTGATTCAAATTTCAAGTTTGATTGATTTACCTTAATTCTATTGTTTATTGGTGAGTGCTAAATCCATGGAATTCCAGAAGTTGGACTTGACTTTTTATATCCAAATATGTGGGTCGTCGTATGGACTTGTAAATTTCACATATTATGTTAGTGTTTGATTAAAAAGTTATAGGGCAAACATATCAATCATAAGTTTTAGCACGATTCATTTTTCTCTTTCATTGGTTTTCGTCTTAAGGAATCAGGGTAATTACAAAACCATTTTGGTTAGGACCCACTATGAGTGGTAACACATGGCTTAGTCTGTCCGCCATGATTTTTGCAATAAATTTGTAGAAAATTTGGCATAGTCCTATAGGTCACATTTGTCTCATGTATTTTGCATTCGGAACCTTGGGAATCAGGGTAATTAGAGTGTGGTTGGAATTATGGAGGAGTCTTTCTGAGTGAAAGAAAGACTGGATAGCCTCACACAACGAGTTACTAATATCCTCCCAATAGGTCAGATAAAAGAGTCTTGTGAAGCCATCTATACCTGAAGCCTGATATGCTACGATAGTAAAAGTAACTCTCTTAATTTCCTCTCGAGAAATCAAGGATGTTAAGGAGGAGTTCATGAAGGGATTCACTTTACTGACAAGAACCAGGTTAGTCACCATAGGTAGGGAATCTACTCCATTTGATGTGAAGAGGTGGACAAAAAAGCCAACATTTACTGAAGCTTTACTTTGTTCATTTGTATGAGGATACCCATTATTGTCTTTAAGAATTTTAATAATGCTTTTCCTCCTTTGAATAGTGGATTCGTGGAAGAAATGGGTATTTAAGTCCCTTAACTGGAGATAAGTCATTCTCGACTTTTGTTTTCAAAAAATCTCCTCTTGTAGAATGGGAATTTCCAATAAATGCAATGAAAGCATTGGGATTCAGTTATCAGTGGATCAAATGGACCCGCTCTTGTATCACTACTGTCTCCTTCTCGATAATCTTGAATGGCTCAAGGCAAGGGTTTTTCATACCTCAGCGGGGACTACGTCTAGGGGACCCTCTCTCTCCATTATTATTTGTCATCTACACAGAGGCCTTTTCGGCTATGATCCAAGCCGCTATCTCAAACTATTCTTTACATGGGCTCCGCATTCATAGGGACCTCTCACCTCTTTTTTGCTGATGACTCATATCTCTTTCTTATAGCCTCAAGACCGGAAATAACAAATTTGTTGGGATTACTGCTATCACACGAAGCGGTCAATGAGTTAACCTACAAAAATCGATTGTTACCTTTAGTTCCAATATCTCTGAACAAGAAGCTACAACATTAGCAAATGCTCTAGGAGTAGCCAAAATAGGGACCCATGATCGATACTTAGGGCTTCCATAAAAAAACCCATCGATCTAAAGTCCTTACCTTTCGATATATTGAGAGAACTCTTTAGCGGCCAGGATCCAGAACTGGAAATCTAAACATATGTCATTGGAAGCCAAATAAGTGGTGATAAAATCGATAGAAACGGCACCCCAATCTATACAATGTCATGTTTCCGCATCCCTTCTACCCAATGTCGAAGACTTAATAGCCAATTGGCCCGATTTTGGTGAGCTAACCAAGACAAAGACAAAGGAATGCATTGGATTTCATGGCCTGAAGTATGTAATAGTAAATTTGAGGGAGGCTGGAATTCAGAGACTTTGATCGATTTACATAGCCATGTTAGGTAAACAAGCCTGGAAACTGCTAACAGCTCTAGACAATACATTGACAAAAATCTATAAAGCCCGTTATCACTTTAATGACCATTTCCTAAATGCTAGAGCAGGATCCCGTCCTCCTTGGACTTGGCAAGGTATCATTGAAGGAAGAACCTTCTTAAAAAGGGTCTGCGATGGCAAGTGAGATCAGGGTCCTCAATATACATTCTACATGCTGAGGTAGAGGAGGTGAGAATGATGGAGCAACGAGGGATTTGAGTTTTCTTAAGATAATTGAGTTTATTTTCTAATTTCAAGAAATATGTGAATAATAATTCTACCTCACTACAACAAAACTTTTAAACCTAGTCAACTAACACTTTAATTAGCAGACAACTTGCCGTTAACTACTAACGGTCAACACTAATAGAAAAATAGTTCGAGATAAGATTGTCATATCGAATAAAATAGAACACAAATGACAAATTTTTTTTTATGACTGAGGTGTTTTAGTGGTATTAACCTTTTCATTTATGATTGTTATTATTTCTTTAAATTTTGTTGTTATAATTTCGACTTCAAACTATGTATTAACTAACACTAATCTTCCAATCCAAAATAGCAATGCAACTAATAGTTTCTTAAATCCAACAACGATAAACTATGACCGAGCCTGCCACCCTGTAAACATTACAATGATGCAGCAAAAAACATGTAATGGAACAAACAAAAAACCCAAAATTACATTCTTATAGCTCAAAACACATCTTCACGAACTCCCTAATTGAAACTTGTCCTTCACCTGGGGTACCTTGCCTTATAATCCCTCCAAACCCTATCAACGTTCTTCCCTAACAGCTCCTTAAAATAGTCATCCGAGTAACCGTTTTTCATCTTCCGGTTCAGCTCCCCAACAAACCCCTCCTTAAACTTGCCACAATACTCCAAGAACCGGGCCGTAACGTCATTCCCCTGATCCCACCTCTCCCCGTCCCCGGGCCGGGCCCATCCAGAACGACTTACCAGATGAGCTCTCATCCTCACATAATCGGCAATCCCACTGACGAGTCCCGCTGGAGCCTGGCCCACGCCGTCCCAGGCCCAAACCAGCGCCATTTGCTGGTACAACAGGCCCGTGAACTCCCGCTTGAGATTCCCGGCCGTGTAATTGCCGATATACTCGGAATTGATCGCGATCCTGTTGTCCACGTGGTAAGTCCTCTGTTGTTTCATGCTCTGGATGAACAGTTCCACCCTGCTGTAATCCTTCCGGTCGCCATCGTCGCCAGCGGCTGTCTGGTGGAGGGTTTTCCATATGAAGTTCGTTCCTGACTCCATCCTCCGGCTGGCGTAGCTCTTCCCGATCCGCCGCACGAACCGCTGGACGCCGGCGGAGGTGTTGAGGGCCGTGATGGTCACCGGGTATTCCACTCCGTGGGTTGACCCGTTGAACAGGACTAGACAATTGAGAAGAAGAAGGAGCAGCGAATTGGGTCGAGGAATTGTTTCCATTGCCCTGTTTCTTTGTCTTCCCACTACGATTAATTGAAGGGGATAACTGATATTGATAGATAGTGTTGTGAGATTTGGGAATTTTGGTCAGTGACGTTTATATAGAAGACGAGGCATAGCATGGGATTTGGGGAAGGAGACGACGAAAATTGAAATGTTTTTGTGTGTGTTGGTATATTGTACAGGATTTGATCGTGTTAGTGATCCAAAAATGGGTCGAATTCGAAATGAACAGGTGATTTATGCTATCAATCAGAGTACTTGAAGGTATCCTTAGAAGTTTTGTCACCAAGTATATGCTTTGTTTCTTCCACCTTTTAACACAACCGTAGATTCGGCTTCATAAATAAAATTAGGGATAAATTGCAAGATTGGTCACTGGACTTACAAAAAAATTCATATTTGTCACTAAAATTAGTTTATTTCATTCATGGTCACTAAAATTCGTATAACAGTTCAAATTTAGTCACTCTCCGTTAACTTTATCTGACGTGGGAGTCAACTATGATAGTTGACGGTTAAATAAGTGACGTGGCAAATAAAAATTAATTAAAAAATAAATATAATCTTTTTAATTTCCACCTCAATAAATTAAAATAAAAATTCATTATAATTGCCAAAATTAAAATGTAATCGTTGGAGAAATCTCCGACAATATTGGTAAAAAAAATCAAAGGCAAGAGAAGAAATCGACGGAGCTGGGGCAGAAAAATCGACGGAGTTTGCCCTCTCCAACTTCGAGCCCCCATCCCTCTCCACCCAGTCGCGGTCGTCTCTGTTCACCGCACCTTTCTCTCTCCCCATATCGTAAGCTGCTTGCTGCTGTTGCTATACTGTCGTAGTGCCGTTGCGACCATCATTACCGGTCACCGCCAGCAGTACACCATCCACTGTTTGTTATATCTCGCTCTCTCTTCCTATTCTCGTTTCCCATATTCCCCAGAAGAACCCTTCCCCTGTTTCCCCTTTCATCTTCTCCAAAAATAAATCATCAACATCTCCCTCCCCAAAAATTCCCTTCCTTTCTTTCACTTCCGTGTTGGAATTTTCGTCACTTTCCTCCCCTACCGATTTCGTTCTCAACTGGCCACCATCAGTCCCCAAATTCCACCTTCTCCTCCGACAAACCATACTCCGACGCTGGTAGATTTCAATAACAAAGAACACTGTTCTTCTTCTCGTATTTGCAATCTCATCTCATCTCCTCTACAAGATCTCGTTTCTTCTTCATCGCAAGCCCAGCTCAAACCCCGTCTCCCAAAGTTTCAATCGGAGTTGCTCGCCGTTCTCCGGACGCCGCTGCAACGGTTCTTTTGGTCGCTTTGCCTCCTCACTTTTCTGCTATAACATTAGACTCCTCATCTCGACGACGGTGGATGACCGGTTTCAACTGCTGTGCTTTTCCAGAACATACCTTGATTCAGCAAACCACTTCAGCAAACATTGATTCCATTCCGCCGGCGTGTCCGAGATATCCATAGCAAACCACTTATTATTCTTATTTATTTTTTAATTTATTGTGTTGAAGTGGAAACAAATTATTTTTTTATATTTTTTAATTGCCACATCACTTATTTAATGGTTAACTCTTGAAGTTGACTGCCACATCAGATAAAGTTAACCGAGAGTGACCAAACTTGAACTGTTACACTAATTTGAGTGACTACGGATGAAATTAATTTTGGTGGCAAACATGAATTTTTTAAGTAATTGCAGTGACCAAACTTACAATTTACCCATAAAATTAGGGATATGTTTATAATATGCCTCTCTACTATTTAGTTTTATCAAACATGTCCTTCAACTACTTTTTTATATCAAACATGTCCTTGTACTTTGGAAAAATGATCAAACATGCCCTTCTGTTAAAATTTCCATTAAAAAATCATCAATCATGGTTGAACCGAGATGTAGACGACCCGACATCGACAAATATATAAATTCTAAAAGCATATTACAAAGATATAAATTCAAGATCTATTCCAACTAAACGTAGTAGTTTGTAAGCAACTATGCTACAATTTTATTTATAAAAAAGTGGATGGTACATAAAAAGTGGACTAAGTCTCCTTAAAGTAAAATAAAAATGATAATTACTATTCATATTTAAGAAGGTAGAAATGAGGGAGGAAGCTATTTCCGAAAAATAGAAATATGGAGAACTCTATTTTTCTCTAATGCTCGAGTTTATAGGCAAGGAGTATTCACCATTCACAAATGGCCCTACTAATTGTCTTGGTGAAATGTGAAATTATATTTAACCAAAAACTAGATGAACATAAGCACGGCGATATACATAATTCAACTTGAAATTATAGGTGTCAAAACATGACCCGATCCGAGTAACCCGCCCAATCAATTTGATCCGCGACCCGCCCGTAACTCGATTGGACTAAAAGTCAAAGACCAGCAACCCGCCCGACCCGCAATCCGCTTGACCCGCAACCCGCGTAACCCACAACCCGCTTGACTCGCAATCCGCTTGACCCGCAACCCGCTTGGCCCGTAACCCGACTAACCCGAACCAGCCGATTGGCACGAATAATACTACATAATATATTTTTGTGCATAAATATTATATGTAAATAATATATATAAAGTTTACTTACCTTGCCCTATTATTTTTTCATCTTTCCCACCAAGAACAAAGGTTTACTTTGTGTTGACAAATGACAACTGTCATTAAATTGAATCACATAATAGTCTCACTGTCTCGGTAAATTGAATAACATAATACTTTCTGGTCTCTCTGCCTTTTAGTTGAATCAAATAAACAACAAGTTCAAGTTGTAACAAATCAATTATGTGGACTAGCTGGCTTATGTGCTGGTCTATCCCATTTGAGGGACACGGTTCAAAGCCCAGTAGAGACATATTTTTTAAGCATGTTTTTGTATGTCAACTTATACATAAAATTCACTTAATGTTTTTGTATGTCAACTTATGCATAAAATTCACTTAATGTATAACATAGTTAGTAAAATATGGTACGAGAAAGTTACGTATAAAATACTTACGGGTATTATACTTCGTCTCTTAGGTAATGCTACATTTAATAGTAATAAATATATAAAACTAATTACTTTTATAAATAAATCAATATTTAAAAATAGTAAAGTTAATAATACATAAAATTCACTTAATGTATAGCATAGTTAGTAAAATATGGTACGAGAAAGTTACGTATAAAATACTTACGGGTATTATACTTCGTCTCTTAGGTAATGTTATGTTTAATAGTACGTTAATAGTTATAAATATATAAAACTAATTACTTTTATAAATAAATCAATATATAAAAATAGTAAAGTTAATAATTCATTTCATTAAATACGGATATTAAACGTTTGGAGTCGTAGGACATATGTTCTTCTCAATAACCAACAATTTCATAATACATAACTATAGTTCATAGTTTAAGGTTAGTGCATAGGGTATACGGTAGTGGACTCGTGGTTTAGAGTTTGGAGTCATGGGACATATGTTCTTCTCAATAACCGAATATAAAATTGACTCAACTTACATTCTTCGCATAACATACGTTGTAGCTTATTCCAACAATTTCATAACATATAACTATAGTATAGGGTATAGCCGTATAGGGTCATGGTTTAGAGTTCATTGTTTGCATGTTTGGGTTATGGACTTATGGTTAAGGGTTGAGGTTAGTTTTAGGGTTAATTACTTAATGTTGTGATTTAGGATAATGTATAGTTGATGGTTAAGGTTAGTTTTAGGTTTCAGATTTAAAATGGTGTTATAGGGTTAGGGTTTAGGGTTTAGGGTTAGGGTTTCTTCATGGTTATGCTTTGTGCATTACAAGAAAACAGAGGTTTAGTGTCGGTTGAGTTGAGTCGGTTCACTTAACCGACACTAAAATTCTATTTTGTGTCGAAGATTTGTGTCGGTTACTTAATCGACACTATTTTCTCCAATTTTGCGTCGGTTAAAATTAAACCGACACAATTTTCAGCATATTTGAGTCGGTTTTACTTGTAACCGACACAACTATTGTTGGTTTGGGTCGGTTTTGTTATGAACCGACACAATTCCACTTACCGCCAAAATTTTATTAGTGTTTTAAATGCCCGCCAAAATTTGAGTGGCCAAATTTCCATACCCGCCCAAAAAATTCACCTCAACCATTCTAATTTTCATATGCCGCCCATTCCAAATTCCTTTATTATTTAATCTTTGCAAGGATGCCTCTTTAAACTGTATGTCATTAATATTTGATGTTCTCCATTATGCTGATCTTCATATGGTTTATACTTCTATACTTGCTTGTTGGCAAATCTGCAATAGACTTCATCAATCTTTGAGCTTATTTGAGAGGACGAAAGGCAGAGAAAGAGATAACAGGAAAGGGTCTGGTATGTGTTTGGGCATCAAACCTTACCTTCCATACTGTGAAATCATCACTGAAGCAATAATGCTAAAGTGCCTAATGGTAATGGCTTCACAATTTGTATAAACCTTCTGAAATTATCGTGAAGATAACTTGTGATGTATCATTAAAAAGGTTGTGTACAATTTTGATCAGGTGGATGTCATGTTAGCAGTAGCTTCTATAAGCTTCTGTGATTTCTTCATCCCTCAATTATTGCTGGTAGACAATCGTGACCTTATGGGTCTCGTATTTATTTTCTACTCATGGATATCAGAAATTTCATTCTATTCTACATCAATTAGTGGGAGCTCTTCTTGTAATGGCTTCGTTTGGAAATATTTTCTTCATTAGTACACCTGAAATGCAGGGTATGATGTTAGTACTTGAACCCAACTAATGTGGTATGATGTTAATTGTTTATAGTGTGGTGTACTCATGTAGAGGAAATGGCAAGCATCAACTGCAGCACAAGAACAACCAGCAGCAGAAGCAGTAGGTTAATGTGTGTTCTAATTGAACTTTGAGTGTTCAGTATATGTCCTAACTTAACCTTGCTGTGATCCAGGTTCAGCTTGGAGACTGGTGCTGGAAATTTTAGTCTTTTCTGCAATTCCTCATATGGCAGTAGAGGCAAGTCTCTGTCCTGTACTACTAAGTTGTTGCAATTGATTAATTA